GCTATTACTAATGTTCATGGTCAGCCCTTCGCCATTTTGGCGAATTCGGGATACCACTTGCTCGTTTGCAACCTTATAAGCTAGCTAATTGATTTTCTCATTAACCGAGGGGGTACTAGAGTGAAATGCTTGTAAGTTTTGTTAAATAAAATAACACTGTTATTTTATTATCTGGATGTGAATTAATGAAATGTAAAGCAAAATCGTAACAGCATTTATTAGCACTAAGCTATAAAACGGGCAGTTTATTATTGTCGATAAAATACAATCGATATATATTTACTACGATACTAATCCGTCCCAGGGTACGCGGGTAACTGCAAAGCGGTACTTGAATTACCATGTGTTCGAAATCTGCTAATCCAAATTAACTTTATTGAGATTGAATGTTTTATTACTAGTTCACTTAACGTATTGAAAACTAATAAAATAAGAATACACAAATATCCATAATACTTTACTGTTCCTTAATGAGGTAGTGAAAACTATGAATTACACTGAGACATTTGTTTTTTCAATTCAGTTTTGGTACAAATCTGTTGCGGATTTGCTTTGTTCCAACGACCAATTATCAAAATTGTTCGGATATGAATCTAACGTAGGGCGTTTCTGTATTTCTTTTCGCTGTTTCATGTCCTTCGAGGTATACTTTGCTACGTGGCAATGTGCTGCAGGTCTTAAAATTCTACGCTTGATAACAACTGCAACATAATAGCTCGTAGCTCGTAGCAAGCAGTAAACGTATGTTTTCCGAATGAAGAGCAATGTTTTGAGAGCGTATGTGTATTATATATTTTTTCATTTGCAAATAGATATATGAATTTTTATGTACACCGTTCTACTGTATCCAGCTTTAGTAAGCTAAACTTAGGTAAAAAAAGTTTGATTTTGTATTTAACAGCGCACAGCGACACATTCGTGTCTCCCTGGACGGATTATATTTTTAATTTTGCACGATACTAGATCATTACAGATAACTGATATAAAAAAACAAAAGCTGTATGCGGTATGCTACTCGCGGTGTATACTTACAAATAAGTGTTGTGCGGCAACACGTGCCTTATCTCTGAATGCCGTCGGACTACGGACATAACCTATCTATAGATATTCTAGCTACGGACCAACATGTATCTACTAGCTGTTCCCGTGCGGCTTCATCCGCATGAAATTATAAAAACATTATTTTATTGTTCATAATTTTTAAAATTTCAAATGTCAAAATTACCGTTACTACAATAACCTTGCATCTTTAATGTTGGCAGCTTGTATTGTATGGTCCCTTTCCCACATCAAGGTTTTTAAATTTATTTAACCTCTAAGTTTAATAGCGTGAAAATATATAGCCTAAAGTGTGATGCAAGTGTTGGGCTTTTTATTAAAAAAGGAATTATTTAAAAATTTACTGTAGTTGCTGACATCTTTCGCCACAAAGAAGTGTGTTTACGCTTTATTATACTAGTATAGATATAGATAGATATAGTATATAGTGTAAATTATAACATGTATCCGATATATGTTAAAGCGAGATTGGGCTAAATAAAAAATGATTTTTAATAATCTTTTTACTAAAATAATATACAATGAAATATCACAGAATTGTATGAAAAATAATCCCCAGTCTTTTTAAAAAGAAAAAACTTTAAAATGTAACAATAAGCAATCTATCAAATACAGAAGTATTAACTTTTTACATGTTCAAATATTCTAATGTTTTAACTTTCTATAAAGTAAAATTAACTACAATATAATAGTTTTATTCAATTTATAAATTTTGAACTATTCAAGTTTATCCACTTTATTAGCACGCGGCCGCGCCACTAATATTAGTCCCATAACAATAAAAAATATGCCCAACCACCATCTCACAGTGGCACCCTCATCGAACAAAGTCACTCCAATCACGCCCTGTAACAAAAAATACCTACTTATCAATATTTAAATTATAATAAATATTAACTTACTAGTTATAAACAGAAAAATTTAAACTAAAAAAAATCATTGATTTTTATTAGTTTAAATTTTTCACTAAATTACCAAAAAACCATTTACTTTTAAGCTATATTTTTAATTTTTCTATTTTTCTCAACATACGAAAATTGGATAACAATTATCTTTTACATTCTCCCTTTAAATTATTATTTATCTAGTCCTGCAACCAGCAAATCTGACTGATCAGTCTAAAGTCGCATGTTTTAATTCCACTGGTGCAACAGTCGCGCGTCTATTTGCTAAGTGGAAAGGCACTTACTGATAATACATAACTAGAGGCTGCTGAAATAACAGTAGGTGCTACAGAGTTGCTTGCGGCGTCCAGCGAGCGTAGGTAGTAGCGACAGCCCCATGTGTTGGTCACCACCATTGTGACTAGGAGAACAGCCCATATCAAGTAACTATCGCCCTATATAAGTGAACATATATTACTCCATGAGGGTAGATAGAGAATATAGACTTCTGTCTAGCTGAATGCCTGATTTACAATTGGCTAGTACAGTTACAGTAGAGTACCTCATGTTTACATTATGCCAGTGTTAGCTGGTTTTTAACTAATTTATTCTATAACTATTGTATTTTGTATTCTTAAAAGTTATTTAGTCTGTGCTACGAATCAATACCATTTATATTTATTGAAAATAACAATATAAACTTTGTAATTGAAATCCAATGCATTATTTAAATATTTATTTCATAACTTTAAATTGTAAGAATTCTATTTGTAATGTTAATAATCAGACAGTAATCAGATGTCAAAAATAAATTGAGGTATTAACTCGGGTACATGATAGACATATTGGTAGTGGTGGACAGGTAGTGTGGATACACGGAAAAATGCTGTTATTGGTAGGGTTATTCTGTATAAATTGGAAGAAATCATAAGAGCTAAACAAGACTATATTTTATTAAAGTTTAATATGGCTGTGGCTACCATACTAGATGTATGCCACTTTGAGTGCTACCTCCTACTTTACTGGCATGTTATAAGCCAGGCATTAGTGTATCATAAGGTGCTTACTTATTTTTGCATTCACACAACACATACATTTTTGCAACTTTCATTTTAAAACGGTAGCATAGTGTCATCTTATTTAATAATAAAAAAAGCCATATCGCACTTGCACAAATTAAACTAATTCAATTTAATTTAAATGTAGGGAATTGTGATGTTAATTATTTCTACTTACTACAATAGTAGGCGTTCCAGACAGTTTACCCAAAGTACTACCTATTGAGGCCCATGTCCCCGCTAAGAAAGCTTCATAAAACATTTTCTTAGTGAAACTTATGTTTTTATCCCTACAAAAAATCTTTGAATATACACATTTATAATTTTGCAAGTATTATTGAAAGTTCAGTTTATAAACTATCATGTAATACTAAATATTGTTTACAAAACTGATCGAAAATTTATTAAGTTAATAAGTTTTATAACTTTTCTCTATAATATATAAGAAAACATAACCTGTCAAAAGTTGCTGTCGAAATCTACTTTGACTTTTGACATCAAAATATTATGGCAAATTACATTGACGTAAGTCCAAGGCATTTACTACGTCATTATCAGGATTTATTTTAAGTTAGTAAATTACCACTGTTAAACCTTAGTAAATCTTAATTTTACTAAATAAAATATTTTAGTTACTTGACCTATAGTTTTGATGAACTATAACATTATTTAGTCTATAACTTTTAACTTTAATTTACCGTCAAATTGGATTTGAATTTGAAAGTAGATATGTTCGACTAAAATTGGAACTTGCAGATCAGCTCACAGTTCACATATGTCGAGCCAATCAGTGAAACTAACAATTTAACTCATTTTGTACCGGGATAGTTGTATTATTTGCTTTACCAACTGCGAGTTGCGACTCATCAGGCACCTCGCGACTTGTATGACTATGGTACATCACGTTGAGCCGTGAACTGCCAATACTCATTTATGTTGTTGAGCTACAGCTCAATGTACGTCTAAATGATCTATTTGAAAGCAAGGTTCTGTCAAATTGACGTATGATTTTTGTATAAGACAATACGTTTTGTCGATTTGCGCATTCATTGGCAAATATTAATTACAGTAGGACTCGAACTTAAATGGTTATTGAATAAAAACAAATTAAAGTAAAATCGTTATTGTATTAAACGATTACGAAGCTAATAATATACTCGAACGGAAGAATTGTTCGCCACATTTTGTTGACTCCACAATTGGCCATAATATTATTTAGGATTTTGTAAAAGAAACATGGATTTCGTGAAAAAGGGAGATAACATTTTAGTTATTTGGAATAACAGTGAACAAAATGACATTGCCAACTTTGTAAATGAAATTAAAAGCATAGCTACGGAAGGAAATGTTTTTCTGGAAAACTCCACAATGATCAGTGACAGTGAGTATTGTATGCAAGTTGTACGTTAAAAATGCTTATGATTTAATAGTCTTTATAATAATAATTGATTTTATTTTCAGCATCAAGACCTAAATCTTCATTTGATGCAGTTCTATGCAACCTTATTCCACCACATGCCATTGAACCCAGTGATAGTTTACTCTCCATTATTATAAAAATTTTGAAACCAAGTGGTAGATTAATTGTTAAATACAACAAAGATCTGTCCAGTACATTAAAACTCAATGGTTTTGTTAATGTAACAAATAGCGATGACAATACATATGTTGCAGAAAAACCCAAATTTGAGGTAAGACCTTGTATAAAATAAACACTAAATATATTGATTTAACATATTACTGGTACTTTACATGAAAGTAAATTTACCAGACATATTTAGTACTTGGTGTACTTAATTCTCTAATAATCATGTGTATTTTTAGGTGGGTTCAAAAGTGTCATTAAAACTGGGACAAAAGCCTGCAGTATGGAAGTTAGATGACACTGTGGAGGAGGCATGGAAGGGAGGCAATGATGATGATATCATTGATGATGATCAGCTATTAGATGAGGATGATTTGAAGAAGCCGGACAAACAATCTCTTAGAGGTAAATATAAAGATAATCTTAGCTGGAAAGAAAACCATTTATTTTTAAAATAATGCCACTGAGCCTTAGCATTTTCATTGGTACACCAGCTCGAAAATATTTATCTATACCACTGTAAAGATGAAAGATTAGTATTTTGTATGTATTGAAGAAATTAAAAAAAACTGTCTGATTTCAAAATTTCTTTAATTCAAAATTAAAATTTAATTAATAAATAGCTTGGGTTATCAGTGAGTAACATCCCATGTTCTTTACTATTTTTAGTAGTTTATTAACAGCTAGTATATTTTATTAATTTTATATTTTATAAAATATAATATGTTTTTTTTGTCTATCTCATTCAGTTTGAAATGACAAGAGCAATTTCAGCATCATAAAGATTTACTTTTTAAACCAAAGTCCTTAAAACTAAAGTTATTCAGTGCAAAATAATCAAAGGAAGATAAATATCTTTTGATTATATAGCAGATAATTATGTCAAACATTTTAATACTATCTATACCACTATCATGACAAATATGTTATCTTGGTTTTTTGGCTCCTTGTATAAAAGGTTTTGTGTTGCGAGTAAATGTTTTGTGTTCCAAGACACTAAAGGCCGTGAGTAAGGTCAACGGCTTTATTGAATAATGATGCTTAATATTGTTGTTCCAATTGCATGATGTTAACTGTTATTTCTGCAGTACAATGAGCGATTCAATTCTGCAGTACAAAGATCTTATATAATTATGATCAGTTTATTAGTGCAGTTTGAGTTAGCGTGTTTTATATTTTTCAGATATGAAATAATTAATTTAAAATAAATAATGTATGGATGATCAACTTTGTAAGGAATAATGTGCTTTTTATTTAATTTTTTTATGCAGTTTATATTTAATCTGTAGTTTAATTAAATGGATATCATATTTTATAACTAAATGAAACAATTTTGCTCTTATAAGACTTATGCAGACATATTTAAATGATATATGTAAGTTTCAACAATTTTAACACTTCCAAAATCGAATTTCGTCAAAATCCGTTCAGCCGTTTAGGCTACAAGCACTAACATTCATCCATCCATCTAAACATTCACATTTATAATATTAGTATGATTGTTTAATTTCCAGTATGTGCTACGACTGGCAAGCGCAAGGCGTGTGCGGATTGTAGCTGCGGCCTTGCGGAGGAACTGAGGGGAGAAACTAAAGATACACCTAAATCATCCTGCGGAAGTGTGAGTATTGAAATATTAAGACTGCAAGCTATTTATTGATACAATGATTCTGAATTCTTTTATTAAAACTAGGTGCTCGCGAAATTATAATACAATTGAAAACACAGCCTATGTTACAGACTGATAACCTAGCTTTTTAATGTTGAAAGGTTTTTGAAATCGGCCCAGTGGTTTTTGATTCATTTTATACAAAAAAAAAAACATACAGACGAATTGAGTACCTCCTTCTCTTGGGAAGTCAGTCAAAAATACATCTACAGTCTTATAATATAAGTATAGACTAGCTGTTGGCCACGGCTTTGTCCATATGAAATTAAAAAATATAGCCTATGCTACTCATGGTTAGTTACCTTTTTAATGGTCAAAGAATTATTGAAATTGTTCAAGTAGTTTTGGAATTATTTCAATACATACAACAATTCAAAAATACTATTTTTTCTTCTTTATAATATTAGTATAGGCATACTGGTTATAGGCAATATACACACTTGTGTTCAAATATCATTTTACATAGAGATTTGTGTATTTTAATGACTTATACTTATGTTCCAGTGTTACCTGGGAGATGCATTCCGTTGTGCGAGCTGCCCCTACCTCGGCATGCCAGCATTCAAGCCCGGAGAGAAAGTTTTACTGGATCTGAAGTCTGATATATGAATATTAAATGTTTAATTCTACTTTGAATCTGCTGTAAACCAAGATAATAATGGTTTGCAACTTTTATTATAAAAGTATTCGAGTTGTGATTGAGTTTTAATAAATCTTTGATTATTTTTTAGTTTTTTTTTCTTTATCTAATGACTTGTTAGAGGAATGTATTTGTGAAAATTACATTATTAATGAATGTAACTTGAACAAATCTTGCTTAAATGTTAGAAAACTGGTTTGCAAAACTCGCCATTTCCACTACATCATATAAAAAAATGAGAAAGTTTGGATGGATGCTTTGTGGATCTCAGTGAAATTTGACACTTATGTAGAACAAATAAGTTACTAAGTAACTTCATTTTATTCCTCACAGACGAAGTCTCAAGTCTAAAGCTAGTGTTTAATAAATTATATGGGGGTAAAGTCAATAAAACAACAAAGTAGCAAATATTCCATTATACATATTTTCTCTTTCTTTTTACAAACAGTTAACTTAGTTTTAACATATCTCGTTTTATAACATCTTCCATTTACATTATGTCAAGTATTACTCATTCCTCTATACAATAAAATATACATATATATGCCATATTCGTCATATAATTATATAACAATTTTTATAATTATTTATGTATTAATTAAATGACACAACATTTCCTGTTCACTACCGTTGTTACATTTTAAAAACAGTATTATTCGGACAAATTTCTATACACAAACTTTAATATACAAAATTATAAAATAAAACTGTTCTCAATATGTTATCCACGAGTCTATGATAAGATAAAGTATAGAAATAAAATATTTCAACAGGTTAATCATACAATAACTTACCATAAACATTTGAGCTTCTAGATGTTTCTAGAAGTTTGTTATGATGGCACAATTTGTGTCAATATTGTGTTAGTGATGGTAAATTAATATTAAAGACTATGGAAACCATTACTGGCCGTACCTAGCATTGGCAACATTAAAAACAATTACATGTAACTTGAATCTTCAAAATTACAATGTAACTAACATCGTACAGTTCAGCAAATTTTACACGCATCCACAACCTGTGTGCTATTTCATAGAAATATGCAAAAATATCCAGTGTTGCCCAATCGATACGTCACATAGAAAAAGGGACATTCAAAAATGATAATTTAAATATCTATTTTTAATAATAATTTGAAACTCTTGATATTAAATTGTATCTTAAAACATTGACTGCATACAACTAATTGCATATTATTTATTAAATTATTACATTTACATAAAAGTTTTAATTATTCTTAGTTTTCGAGTGAGCATTGCAGAAGAAAGCAAAAGATTTGATACAACAGTTCAATATTTTAGATATACAATATGCATATATAGAATATAATAGACAAAAGGTCCTCCATCGTAATGAAATCAGTTATATTTTTTGTAGTGTTTAAACTATCCTAATATCAAAAACACGGAAGAACGTGATTGCGCCAACTATCGAATCAAAGATGCAAGAAATATAAAGATAAGGAAGAAAGAAAAATTACTTATCTATTATTGCGTTTCAACAACTTCCGTGGATTCTAATCAACTTTATGAGCGAAAATAAATTAATACTTTTTTTGAATTTGGATTTTAGGAAATAATACTTTTTTGTAACGAATTTTGTACTTAACGATCGTCCATCCTGTCGTAGCGGAGCCGACGGCTTCCGTTTACAAAATAAATGCTCCTATCTCATAATTTAAGTAATATCTTCGAAGAAACTACTATCCCACAACATTCAGTAAAGCGTCCCAGTCTTTTTAAAAGTTTATTTTCATCAAATTGAGATCTTGCTTAGACTCGTTTGCGATCGCGTCTCCCCCCGAGACACTAGTCTTAGAGTTTGTGAGGTAGGCTTAGTCATGATCTGATGAAAGCGCCTTGTTAAAAAATACCGATTAATAAAATGAGATCTTTCATTAAAATTACAAATAATAATATAAAAAAACGATAAAACTAGAATTACATACATTATACAACAAATTATTAACGTTTTATGTTTACAACACTATCCGTCCGCGATACGTCCGCGCTCTGCGCTCGTCCGTTAGCGTATGACCGACGAGCACGCGACAGTTGACGGTACAATGAAAACAACCTCAGTATTCCCCTCCCCCTCCCCCTCCTACGTTTCCCACCCCGCCGGGCAGAGTACACATCGTTTGGCAAGTTTACATCACAATACACAGTCGCTACTTTGCCCAATTATTGTACAAACTTTACGTACAACGTACAATTTTAAAGCAACATTTATGAAAGGAGAAATGACTTTATATAACAAGTTATCCAGCTACCTCCTCTAAACGAAGTAATTTGAATTAAGTGAATGTCATTTTTTTTAACAATATCTGTTTCATATAAGTTTTTAACTTTCAATTTTTAATTCTTAATTTACGAAAAATCAAAGTTAATTCCAATTAAGATTCAATAACTACTTTTTTCTTAATATTTAAAAAGAATTATTAGTTGATATGGCCATGCATTTGTTATCTGCGTAACGATATATGTATAGTAATCACAGTTTCTACTTGTTTTGTATTAAAATTTTTGTTACCAGCGTATCGTTTCCGAGTATAAAGTAACTACGACTCCTTACCAATAACGCACTTATTATTCTAAAAACATATATATTTGTTTATCCAAGCAATACTTCATACCTACTCTGAACTACAAAATATCACAGACGGTGTGTTTATTATGTATACATATTCTCATAGAAAAGTTATGTGTATCACACATGGACGTCAAAAAACCAATAGAGATGGCATCTAATAACCATGACCATTATATATATCTTTTTTACAATAAAGGTATCAACAATATAATCAAATTATTTCTCAGAAGAGTCAGCCATTTGTTACAATAAGTACTCGCTGAATATTCTAATGTGCGGATTGAATTAGTTTGAACGCCTCGACTATTGCAAACTGTGCGACCCGCGCACGATATGTCGCTGTCACAACCATCAAATCCGGTAAGAGCGCGCCCACAACTTTGACTCAACTATCGCACAACTGTTTAGTCGCGCTGTGATTCCTATGAGCTTAAATCTTACGAGCACTACTCGATTTTGAGTTGTGTAACTAAACAGTTGAATTGGCTGCGAAACAATCCACAAACGTACTACAGTTGTGCGATATTTTACTCAAAGGTGTGCGCGCGCTCTAAATAGACACGACTGTTCCAAAGTAACTAAACCAGTTTATTTCGGAAACCCGCATATCGACTATCGGAGTTTAAGCACGCGCCAATATTACTTCGCTAACCCTGGATCCATACATTCTCTGAATGAAAGTTACATGTTTTTAGTGTTTCGGCAATGGAAACCCGAGCTATCTCGCTAACATTCATTGTACCTTTATGTCTGGTTCACACTTGACCACTACAGTTAGTATCGCAGGCGTAGTTTGTATGGACTTACTGGCGCCAGTTGGTGTTTGGGCGCTTTTGGCTAAGTGTGAACGAGGCATTAAATTGTTTAACCGTCGCCAGCTGTCAGACGGGCGATAAATCTCATTAGTTATCACATTATCTAACCTAATATAAAGATCTGATAAACGCGTTATTTTGTGCTCTTTCAGATATTAACTCCATGCTATTACTTTTCTGGGTTTATGCTTCATGTGTTATATTAGAACCAATATTAAAATTATTTTTATCTGCTGAATTTTACTTACAAGTCTTAAACTATCGGTTTTATCCACATCTTTAGTAGATTAAAAACACATTTGTAAGACTAAACCGTACTCAGAGTTAGTCACAAAGACCATTAGTGTATATTTCACATGATCTACAAGAGACTTACGGCCCAATAATGAAACGACAATTCAAGTAAAAGCGTGTTAAATGATAAGGCCACGCGTTTACTCCCAATACGTTTCAGAATTTTGCCGTCAAACACTCTGACTCCGGTAGCGAAAGTACCATAAGTAGAAAGTTGTAAATGATTTATATAGAATTCAGCGTAGTAAAAAGTTACCGGCACTTTTGTGACATAACATTGGTCATGGAGTGTAACATTCAATAGACTTAAGTTACATATTTACAATATAATACACGAACGCGTATAGAAGCACCCGACAGAAATAAGCACCTGGTGTTCCCGAGAGAACTTAAGCGTACGTCAGCGCTCGCTGTCACAACTACATCGAACCGAACGCACACGCGCACGCGCCGATATAAATATATTGCCGGCCATTATGTCATATGTCAAAATAACGCGGGAAACGCTGAAAACTTCGTCCCATTCTCGCATTAGTATTTTAGACTATATCGTACAATTGTAAAATTATTTTTCATAATTATCTAATCAAAGTTAATCGTTCTTATCTGACGAATTAACTTACTTCCCTGAATGAATTATTTTAACGCCTATCAATTTATTTAAATCGTTGCGCGCGCAAGTCACTGGGGCGATCTATTTTACCTACATTACCGTGTGAGTTTGGCTCACATTTATAACTAATATTTCACGATGCCCTCGCTAGTGCCGGGCAAAGTCCGAGCGATTGCACGGGTAAGTTTTCACAATTTAACAGATGTATACGCTCAGCGCTTCTTGAGCGGTGGACGGTCGTCGTCGTTCACGTCGGGGGCGGACCAGCGACGTTTGCGGGCGTCCTCTTTCACACTAAGGTTCTCTGGATGCGTTTGCGGCGGTGCTGGGAGACAGCTGGTGACATTGACCCCCAGATTGCTGGTAACTGTGCCGTTAGTACCCGCGTGGCTCTTAGCGACCAGAGACACACATACGTCGCCGACCTGAAGCCTCTGCACTCGCAGCCCGTACCGCGCCAGAGTGCGCTCCGGCTTGCAAGACGCCCAGCCCCGCCCGTACACGAAGAACGGCCTATCCACCGTCCAGTCTAACTCCACCTGAAATTTACAAAGAAATAATTAACAGATGACTAAATTATAGGTTAAGGCTTTGGCTATTCTAATATAACGTTGACTTGCTGCCTTTCATAACACAATGACTTTCAATAAAAGTTGAATGAATGAATCAATTTCTAAGTAATAGAGAATAGTTTATAATGATTTGTTTAACATTGAAAGGTTGTTTTTTATTAAAAGTAGTGTTGAACTTTTGGAACGTGAATCATTTTGCATCGAAAGATTTTTGAAAGCAACTGATTAAGTGGACGACGACAGTTACTAGTAACGGATATGTTAACGTGAGAGATATAGAGCCAGAATAGGTATGAGCTTAGTTGTGTTACCTGGGTGCGGTTCCTATCGTATGTGAGCGTGAGTGCGAGGTTGTCGCCGCGCTCGTCGAGGCGCAGCAGAGTGCACTTGGTGAGGGCGAGGTGCGCGCTGCGGCCTGCGCTGCTCACGAAGTCCTCCGTGCGCATCTCCTCCACGCGCCGCAACGACCCGTCCTCCAGCCTGATCATGGCGCCTCGACAGAAGTAAGGCGCCGGCGCACCACGCTCCGGCGACATCGGTGCATCCTGGAAACATTATACAAATACGTTGTTATTTCTAGACTTTAACGTTGATGACATTTTACTTCATTCATGTGATAATTAGGCCCGATTTTAGTCCTTTTTTTCAATACACCCTTTTTCTAATAAGAATAGGATGGGATGGGAACGTGGATTTGATGCTGGAGGAGACACATAGGAAGGGGGGACATATCCTCTTTATGTGCGTTTCCTCCGTCGTTCAAGGGTAGGCAACGCATCCTCTATTGCGAATGTCTATGGGCAGCGGTCGCCTCGCCAATTTGGTGGACTCAGGTGGCCGCTTGCTCATTTGCCACCTTACGATGTAAAAAAATGTGACATCTTACCTCTATAGAGGGCTGCACGGGCGCTGGCGCAGGTGCCGGCTGTTCGTGCGGCGCGGGTGCGCGGTGCTGGGCGGGCGCCGGCGCGGGCGCGGGCGGCACGAAGCCGGAGGAGGACCGCGCGCGCAGCGGGTAGGTGGCGGGGGGCTGCGGGCGCGCGCCGTACAGGTAGGCGTAGGGTGCGTGCGGCAGGAAGGGCGCATAGCCGGCAAAGGGCGCCGGGGGCGGCGGGTGCGGCGCGGGCGCGGGCGGCGGCGCAGGTGAGGGATGCGCGGGCGGGTCGCGTGGACGCCGCGCGGCGTAGCGCGGGTATGGGCGCGGCGGAGGCGTGAGGAACTCGGGCGTCATGGCGGCGGGCGGCGGCGCAGGGTACAGGTGGCCCAGGTGCCCCAGCTGCAGCTGGGCCAGCGCCTCGCCGGGGTGGCTCGCCGAGATCATCGGATGTGCTGCAAACAATAACAGTAACATGTAAAACCAACTCGTGTTAACTACGATTATAAACAGCAACTATAGCTGTTCCTGCTGGGCTTGTATCAATATTTGCACCTATCAATAAGGTTCAGTAAATTAAAATGTAACAATTCAAAACCTAAAGTAACTGCAAGTGTAAGAGACATGTGAAATGATAATTTATTGTGCAACATATAAGGGAACTTCCTAATCAAATCTCTCAGTATGATATTTAAAAAAAAAGATAGCTTACACAATGTCGTGTGTACCATGTCCTGTTTACACGAAAATAAAAATCGGTTTCTAGTTAAAACACAAGCGATTGTTTACTGAACAGATGCGCTCAACACGTGTTACGTTCACTCGTTGCGTTTACAAGGAATTACTCTCGTCAGTAAGCGCGTATACTCAATTACATGTAGATTATGTTTAAGAATAAAATCTATTTATAAAGTTTACGTAGCCGCCCCACATTCTTATCGCACACATACAAGCTCTGATCAGCTACACACACAGGGAGGTGCAGATGTCGGATCTATCTACATATATGTATGTTGTAGATAGAGTGATTGATTAAGGCACTACACATAATGTTTATGTTACAAAGTATTTCAAAATAACATTTCCAAAATTATACAAATAAGGCGACATAATTGTGTTACTCACGCCTATTAACTTATTAAATCTAGATAAATGTTAAATTAATAAGAGTTCTAACGTAATTAAAATAAAGTTTTTAGTTTAATACCAACGATAAGTCACTTTGTAGCAAAAACGACCGAGAAATACGATAAATAACGGTAAAACCACCAATAACTCTTGTATCTAGTAATTATTGGTAATATCCGTTTTAATTAACTGTCTACAACATGCGTGGTATAAGTTCGAAGTAAGGACGTCTGGCAAGTTAAATATTACACAACGAGTCCTTATTAGTACAGGATATTGCTAGTATTGGTTTACTGAGCTTTACCAGATTGCCTGAATAGCATCAAACCTGTCAGCCACTTTAAGAGGTCACATTTAATAAATTTGTATATAAGTACCCAATAGAGTAAGATAGTTTTATTAAAGTTAAAACACGTAACATATTTTAATACAATACGCAAATCTATACTAGTATTATAAAGAGGAGAGAATTGTATTTTTATATTATTTTTTACAAATTCTTTCACTGTTAGAAAGGTAATTTATATGTGAGTAGCATATGCTAATTTTTTATTGTTTTCTAATTTCACGCGGACGAAGTTGCCAGTAACAGCTAGTATTATATACAGGGCAACTTAAGCAAGCATTTAAAATTTCCCAAGCTTCAAAGGTATCATAAAATTTAGCTTCAATAATGTAGACACGCAAGTCGTTCCACATACTTTTGTTTGTTTAAATTGTCAATTGTTAATTAATTATGTCATCGTGTTTTGCGACAGTATCCAGGTTATTTAATAATTAGGTTATTAAAGCAATTATTATTAACTACCTTTCGCCCGCGAGAATATAAAAAAAATTGTTTATTATATGTATGTTACTACGTAACTTTAGAAAGGAATTTAAAAGTAACAAAAAACAGTAGCGAAGAGTCAACATTGTCCGCGTTGGTTGCAGGCGATAATTTTATGAACAAAGAATGCGCCTGCACCTGCGCAAACAGACTTATGTATTAGCATATCTTCTCTATGTAAAGCCTTACGTTGTACAAGTTATTTTTAACATATCGCTTAGAAGTCGAAAGTAAATTATTATTTACTTACTTCCTTAGAAAATTTCCATTATATGTTTTGCTTTCAGTGGTGGCAGTGGATATCCACGGTTACTTTTAATTTTACTCAAATGTATAATTTAGTGGTAAAACTTAAAATTTTCTGTACCTAAATATCGAGTGTGTCGGTAAATTATTAAGGATATTGGTAAATGTCTTTTTTTTAACCTTATAGTAAACTGAAATTTATCGCTATAATGTGGAACATATTTATCAAAATTTCTTTATAACTAAACATATGTTTATTAAATACTAGTTGTTGCTCGCGATTTCGTCCACGTTATATAAAAAACAAAATGTCTATGTTACTCACTGATAACGTAGCTTTTTAATGGTGAAAGAATTTTTAAAATCGGCTCAGTAGTTTCTGAGTTATTTCATACATACAAAAATCCAAAAATCAAAATCTTTCCTTTTTATATTAGAATACATTAATAAAAAACCATTTAAAAGGCATAACTTCAAAATTATCATTTACGAACACTTGCTTACGATATTATCTCATTATCACAATGACGTACGTATCATGAAGCAACACTATCAAGTAATTAGAAATCCTTTAAAATATCGTAATATTACAAAATAGTCTCCGCCGCCGTTTGTCACGAACCTGTACGACCTTGTACTTTAATCAGCTGTGAAAATTCTACAAAAGTTCGTTGCATTCGACTTTAAATTCATTGTAATGCGGATTTCACCTAAAAAAAATAACAAAAAAACCCTGTTCTTTCCCAAATGGACAAAAAAGGAAAATTACAATTGTTTAGCAATTCTATTTTTGGCTTAATTCGTTGAACTGTGAGGTGTTAAGTTAAATGTAACTGGTATTAAATTAGTACTTATGATAATTGTTTAGGGTCTTTTAAAGGTATAAACAAATTATTATATTAATAAGATATTTGACAGTTATTGCATCAAAAATCTTTACGAATTAGGTACCAAAATTATTTTATGATAAAAAAATACCGGTCGCTATGAGCCGGAAATACCATAGGCAGCTACCCGACTGTGGGCCCCAACGCGAATTCTCAACATGTTATAATCCGCCGAATCTATACCCATTGATTAGTAATTTAGAATTGTGTGCATTTTCAATGGATATCAGAAAACAAAGGCCAAAGAAATTTAGAGCTTTAATGATCTTATCAATCGATTCTATTAGTTTTTGACTCATAATTTAATGAATAGGGCCGTTAATGACAACATGTCGAAAACCTATTAGTAATATGTATGACAATTTTTGGGAAAAAAGGCATTTATGCAAAACAGTACCTAATCACTCCAAATACAAAGATAAATTGCTTACTTAAAGACGTGTCTGCTTTTCAAAATAGATATTATGGACATCAACATATAAAAGGGTTGACATATGTTTAAGCTAAAATGCATATGTTTTTAATTTTAGACCCACAGAGTATAATCGTACCTGTGTATTATAGTTACTTAATTCTCCATATTTCTAGAAAAAATATTACAATACTAAATTTTAAAACAGCAGTTGTTATAAATTGCAATAGCGAGACATATGACGTCATATGGCATAACGCCAAGCGTGCTCTGAAGTGACTTAACTCAAGGACCCATCAGGAAGTGAACAAGTTGACTTAAATCGACGATACAGAATTGAAAGACAAGCATATTATAAATATGTTCGTAGTTTTAAGCCGGTAAAACGTAAAACCAAAATGCAAAATACAAAGGAAACTAACCAAAGGAAAACCTAAAAAAATTGCATACACAAGAAATTTAACATAACAACAGCGGTGTTCGTAGGTTGAGAAAATTTACACTTATCAATTTTTACAAACAAATTTTTCTCAAAGAGAAGTCATAAAATGAATTTGGCTTCATTTCCTATTACGATAGAAGCAGCTTGTTACAAATTATTCGATGATAACAGTAGTCAACAATCTTAAATTGGAGCACGACCGATTCTTATCAAGTATGTTTAGTGGTGTAATACAGATAATACATAAAGTACGGGCAAAATAATCGATTTCGTTTATAAAATCGATTCTTACTTCAAAAGTTCATTGACATGAAACAATAATGCTTAAAATTGATTAATTACAAAGCAATGATGTTAAGTAACAATGTTATACGCTCTAATTTAGTTATGTGCTCTACAAATAGTGCATCGATTTTACGAATGTTATTAATGTTGTTAGAGTGATGAGATGTTTGTTAGAGTTTGTCGGCTGAACTGGTGTAGACTCTACATTGTAGAGCATAGTCTGAAAGAACACATTTACATTTGTACTTAAGACTGCCGGGTCTGATACCTTGTCGGTCTATAATTCTATAGCATAGTATATCAAAGTATAGTCATTTAAAAGATTTTTTTACTATTGTAAATATGTTTTGTACAGATGTTTCGACAGTGGAAACTAACAAAAGGCGGTTCTGTATATTATTTCTGTGGCTCTTCATACGTAATATGTATTTACGTATGAATCACACTTTGAGATAGTTAAGTGAGTAACGCCTAAAAAATTCCTCAATTATACAGGTTTCACAATACTAATTCGATTGCTTTGTCCAAATTCAATTCATTTAACAAAACAATACGTAAATAATCGTTAGGTTTTCTTTATAATTTGGCTAATATAAAAATTGTTTATGATTGTACATCGACTACACACATCGTCCCTTTCATTCTCTTTAAGAAAACAAAGACAAAATACATTTAAATACAAGCCTTTCTACGGCAGTAACGTCCCGGTAAAATGTTTTACACTTTTCAGTGGAGCGTGCAAAATAATGAAAATTTTATATGCGATGTAAGAATACATATTTTGTAAAGCATATGCTAAATTTATACAGACTGTTCTAATTTTGATAGTTGGCGTGGTCGGGCGCACCGTCTGTCGATTGTGTTGAGTTGGGACGTAGGTGCATTGCAAGGCCGGGAGTTCGCCGGCCGCGCTCCTAATGAATGGCGACTAATATCCCATCTTCTATACCTATCTATCTATACATGTAATAAAATTGTGTCTGTTATATCAAAAGAGAAATTCCAGATTTCGGAAAGATGGTGTATTTGCGTTGCTGATAACAAAATCGCATAAAAAAAATTGTCTGTCTGTCCGCAAGCCGCGTTTGTTCCAAGTAACCTCCGAAATGGCTGGGCCGTATTCAATGGACTTTTATTGGAGGGTAGCTAGATTATAGACTAGTTGTTTTGTAATTCCGCGCTGTCAATATGGCGTAACGGGTGGTCCAAATTTGCGCTAACGACGT